TATATATATATATATATATATATATATATATATATATATATATATAAATACATAATCATACAGATGTATTTGCGTGTCGTGTTCGTGTAATACCTAAGTGTATCAGTGGTTTAAACCAACGAAAACTCGTCCGTTTTTCTCTGCGTACTTCCTGCACGGTACAGAAGCGAGTATATTTCGCATTTGCTTACGTTTCTACCGAATTTTCGTAAAGTACGTAAGAAATATCCGCAGGCAAAAGACTTGTGTGCTACATTCAACGAACCTTTTGTTCTGTAATGAAAAAGAAAGGAAGAAAAAAAAAATAGAAGAATATCGAGATACCTGTATATCCGTGTATATATACACACGTATACGTAAAAATATGTTCACGAAACACACTTCAGCTCCCGAATAGACATCATGAAACGAAAAGCCGTAGATGGATGAGGCAACAGCTCATCTTAAGCACGTGTCCAAATAGCGGCCTCTAATAAAACAGACGAAACCAGGTGGTCAACTTACCTACCGTTGTGTGAAGTCTCGCTGAGTCGAGAGACTCTCGCAACAAGTTGACCACGTGGTTCGTGTCTAAAAGTTTGAAAAGCTGTACGAAAACAGCGTTAGACACCGGGACGCATAGACACAGCGTCGATTCTCGGGCTGAGAACAGATAGTTCACGAATAAGACAGCTCGACGCACGAGCAGCTAATACGTAAGGTTCTTGAAGGTACAACCTTTCTCTTCTCTCTCCATAGAAACTCGACCAACACGTTCCTCGATGGGTTCCACAGTCAGCTCAGAAAACTCGTGCAAAAACGTTCCTCTAAGAGTTACGTATCGCTACTACGTAGAAACAGTCTCTACGGTCTATAGGGGGGGGGGGAGAGGCAGCGATTTGAGAATCATTCCGCGACTATTTCGACTATCGTGCAAATACTTTGAAAATACTTGGTTGCTCCGATTGAAACAGCTTTTCGATCGCTAGAAAATGGACAGAAGAAAGTACGTTCGGACGATCGAAGCCGCGGACAATCTCGGCGTCGCGCTCCCCTCTCTAAAGCACAACTTTCGTCTAAAGAGCAATGGTGCTGCGTGTGGTCATTGCCGCTCGTAGAAGTAGATCAAGTAGACCGATCAACGGTCGTCGTCGTCGTTCTTCTCGCAACTCTCGGTGTCTCTCCGCAACTTGTACTCACGTTTCGCCGAAGGTCATTGATTAATTCGTCGACAGCGGATTCGATGAATTTCTGAATAACGGAGCAGGCTCGTAGAATTCACGACACGCGCGCATAACAAGGGAAATTCGCGAGTAAGATGTCGATGGGGGATGGGGAGGGGGGTGAAATCGAAATCAAAAGGGATGGGGGAAACAATTAAAAAAAAAAGGGGAGGACAGATATATTTTGCTATAGTGTTCGGACCTGTCCCCGTCGCCGCTACCCTCGCCGTCGCTGCTTGCGGAACTCGGTTGCCTTCCGCTTCTTCCGCTGGCCGTGTCCTCCGGCAATA